CCTTAAGGCATAATAAAATGACTTAATTTGTCCGAATCAGTGGGAAAATCAGATACACAACCCCAGGGATCTTTGTATTTTGTTATGACACTGTTTTCCTGGAGAAGACATCTTGCAATGGATGAAGAAAACCACAAAGTGATGATCTGCTATTGTGGTGAGTGAGGGAGGACACCTTAAGATGCTGGGACAGTAAGAATTAATCAGGAGAGAGGAAGAGGGTTGAATTAGGGATGAGAAGTTTTTACTGGAGTTGTATTGGCTGCTTGGATTTTTTTATAAAGCTAAAGTGTTGCTCAGAGGAAGAGTTCACACAGGGATTAGGAAACTCCACATTTCTTTTCATAAATAATTCTGTGGAAATAATGATCTCCTGAAGATGTAAAATTGCAAGGCAGTAAAAACTGGTAAAGCACTGGGTACTCATTCATTACTTTTTCATTTACTGGACCTTGTATCCTCAGTGTTTCTTTTTGTTTAGACCTTTGAAAAAAAAATTTTCTCATGCTCTTTTCTGCTAATTCATGTCATTGTCCTTCTTGAAGAGAAGCTGAAATGATTGGCATGCAGTTTGGTTAAGGATCAAGTGGATAGATTCCATTTTTAGGATACTTCTCAGTATTGAGGTCCATAGGAAAAAAAATATTAATTTTTATTTTATTAGCAAGCAGGGGACTTCTTTACCAGTTCATACTTGTGAAAGGTCAGTGTGTCTTTCTGGGCAGCAGACCTGACAAAAGAAAGAAGTAGCAGGTGCGAGTCAGTCTCCAGCATTGACCAACTTTATTTTGATGTTCTCCGTGCAGTTGTGATGCCAGTGTTTGTTTCTATAGCAACAAACAGAGAAAGTGATGGTGGGGGAATAATTAAAGGGAACGCCATTGAAATTGTCACTTAAAATTATTTCATTGTTTGGTAGCACGTGCTGTCTGTGTAGGGCAATAATGTGGTTTTATGGGATACTGGTGTTCCTCAGTAAAGGCAGAAACGGCTGCAAAAGCTGTCCTGAAATCACCACGCAGGTAACACTGACTCCTAGAGCATCCTACATTTCCAAAAAAGCCACAGCTGCTGTGAAATTCACCCAGCATGTGGAGTTCAGTACATTCATTGAGCAACAAGATTATTTTGTTTATTTATTTTGGTTCAGGATGCTGTTGTAAATAGAGGGAAGCTGTGGCCAATTTCCCTTTGCTCTTCCATCAGGTTGCGCAGCGCTCCGGTTACCATTCGGTTCGTGACGAACACAACAAAGGAGTGCAAGAGGGACCTGCTGGAGAGGCTGACAAAGCTGGGATTTGACATTGCAGAAAATGAGATCTTCACGTCTCTGACTGCAGCCAGAAATCTGCTGGAGCAAAAGCAGGTGCGGCCTCTTCTCCTGGTGGATGATAAGGCTCTGCCTGATTTCACAGGTGAGGTGGTCAGAAAACAGCACGGGAGAAGTTACTAAACAGCTAAGGAAACATAGTGCTCTGTGTTTTGTAGAATTACAATCTCTCCAGAGTCATAAAGGTTCTTTCTTCTTTTTGAATTAACACTAAACAGACTGAAGTCAGAGCTTCTCGAGGAGTAGTGGAAATGGCAGCCAAAACCTTCAAATAGTTGGGAATTTGGGTAAAACTTGGTACTTTTAATGACTTTCCAGTTAAAAAAAAAAAGTAATACTTATCACTAGGATCACTAGGTCATTGAAGGGAGCAGAAGATGATATATTCTAACTTGGACATATCTGGTAGGTGCCTGAAGCTAGGAGAGTTAGTCCTTGACTTAACCACGTTGTTTTTTCAAGAGTAGTGCAGATACCCACGTTTTTAACATAGTAAAAGTTGAAAACTGTATATTGTGCATTCAGTCTAAAGTAATACTTATCACTAGAATCACTAGGTCATTGAAGGGAGCAGAAGATGATATATTCTAACTTGGACATATCTGGTAGGTGCCTGAAGCTAGGAGAGTTAGTCCTTGACTTAACCACGTTGTTTTTTCAAGAGTAGTGCAGATACCCACGTTTTTAACATAGTAAAAGTTGAAAACTGTATATTGTGCATTCAGTCTTTCATTTAAAGCCAAGGCAGCAAAAATGTGGATGGCTTAGCACTGCTCCCTGCCCCTTGCCTTTTGAACTGATATCCTTATGGCTGTGTAATTTAAGTAGGTTCTAATTCTCCTAGGAGCTGGACATTTCCTCTTAAATTTCAGTGCCATAGTCTAGTCAGTAATCTTCAGAAAGATAAGTGTTCGAGAAAAAAGCCTCTGTGGGCTCTGAGAGCAATGAAACCTGATGATCTGTTCTACCTAAGGTCGTATCCAGAGAAATACGCCACCAGCAATATTCTGTATGTGTTCTTTCTTGGGTCAGAAACAGCAGAGACAGCAGCTGTTTCACCGAGAGTAGTTAAATCAGTTTAATCTCTGTGTATTTGAGATCTTTCCATCGGTTTTACAGTAGCTGATGCTAATTTTGTAATAGATGGCAAAGACAGAAGTATCAGCAGAGTATTATTGGTGACATTAATATCTGTAGGTGCCACCCTGCTCTCATTCTGTTCAGAGGTGGCAGTGCCATGTAAAAACAGTCATGCTCCTCGGAGGTGGTGCAGGACAAAGGAGGTGCAAGCTGTTCTCGAGGGGACTAACCCACACACAGAAAAACACCTTCCAGAAGAGTCAAAAACTGATCTAGTGTAACAATTTCTAGGTCAAGCTGCGATACCATCTTTGCTGTCGTAACCAGGCTGATTTGTAGAAAAACTGTCAGGCTTTATACCCCAAGTGGAGTTTTCTGTGACTAGAGGGAATAGAAAGACTGGATGGAATTCAATAGTCTTCCTGCTTTAGAGTCTTACAAAGCAGATAAATATATGTAGAAAGAGATTCTCAGTTAACTGTCGTAGTTCTGAGCCTGGCTGGCAGCGTAACACCACAACAGCCGCTCGCTCACCCTCCTCCCTCCCAGGGATGGGGGAGGAAATTAAAGGGGTGAAGCGAAAAGAGACTCATGGGTTGAAATAAGAACAATTTAATAACTAAACTACAGTAATATTAATAAGAATTATAATAGTAATAGATACAAATATACAAACGAGTGACACACAGTGACATTGCTCACCGCTTGATGACCAAGGCTCAGCCCATTCCTGGCTAACGATCCTGGAGTACGGAGAGTCCCAAAACCGCAATCCCAGAATGGAGAGAAGAGCCCAAGTACCATTTCTAGACATAAAACTAGTCTGTGTGATGTGTCTGTGTCGGAAAATGCTCATTTTTGCTGTAAAGTGATTAACTGCACTTGTTGACTGTGTACTGTCAAGTATGAATAAAATTCTGTTCGCTCAGAGTCATGTTTTGATTTTTCAGGGATGGCCACTGATGACCCCGATGCGGTGGTGGTAGGACTGGCTCCTGAGCACTTTCACTACGAGATGATGAACAGAGCGTTTCGGTAAGTCAGCACCTCGTGGCCTTTGGAGTGGTGACTGTCTTGTACCGGGCTCTGTACCTCTACATAGGTGAGGAAATCCTGCTCATCTGGGGAGAAGAGGGTGGTAGAAATATCACTGCTATGTAGCCACTAACTTTGGTGGATTTGGGATCTTAACTGTGAATTTCAAGAAGTCCAGCCCTGGTTTTCATAACTTTCAGTTTGTAAATTAAATATGGAAGTACAGTCAAGGCTGTCATTGTGGTGAAAAAGTTAGTAATGCTTCAAGAAGAAATACACAAAAACAAGGATGTTGTGAAGTATTCAGGACATGGCTTCTATGTTCAAACCTCAGCCTCAAATTTTATAGGAAAGGAAATCAAGTATTTAGGGAAGATTATTCCTTATCTACCTAGTGCAGGATTTCTAGCAATTTCCTCTAGAAGCATCTTGTGTTCAGGAGTGGCCAACACAAAAAGCTGGAGTATATGAACTATGGATCTGATCCGGTCTGTCTAATTTTAAAAGCTCTTCGTTTTGTGTGTTGATGAAGGGGTAAATCACATAAAATTTATCTGTGACTGCAGAGGAGCCAAGGTGCAATAGTGCACACAGAGGTGCATAGCCACATGTCCTCCTCTCTAGTTCTAGCTCAGCCCAGCACTCTTGATTTTTAACTTGCAAAAAACCTTTAGCTTCAAAGACATGAACGTGAGCTCACACAGTTTTTCACGTTGGAATTTGAAAAAAACTGATCTCGAGCACCTTGATCTGTCTTTCTAACCACTAAATCCAAAGAGGGGTGTATAAGTTACTGCTCATCGGTATCTTATAGAGGCTCCTTGGCGTAGGAAGGCAAAGCTGTCCTTATCTGTGTGCCAGTTGTATGTCGTAAGAACACATATTGACCCAAACCGATTCTCTGGCAGCCTTGTCAGTGTATGTTGCCAACAGCCTTGATTTTAGAGTTTTACAGAGCACTCAGGAGTGGACTCTTAATTTCCTGCATACGCAGGAAAGCCTGACTTGTTTTGGGCTTTTCACCCAGTCCTCTGTTGAGGGTAAACTGTTTTGCTGGTGTCAGTTTTGTTTGGTCTAATGGAAGTGTTAACTGCTGGCTGCATTCTCATCTTCTCGAGCCTTATGCCAGGTCCTTTACTTTATTCCTTGTCCTTTACTGCTCAGATAATGAAGTCACTTGGGATTTGCATTGCTCATAGCAAAACTTTATGGTAAATCTGATTAAATGCAGGTATCTCCAGTGCTGATGCCTGTATCTGAGCTGGTGGTCTGAGCTCCTGAGGGAGAGAGGAGGCGCTTGTACGGCATCATTCATTTTTCCCCTAGTAGTACTTAAAATAGGACAGTTGATCAGTGCCCTAGAAGTGGTTTTTCCTCTCCACTGACTGTGAAGAGCCCAGGCTGGCTAATTACCTGGTAGGCAACTACTCAGTTGATATCCAGCATTAGGTTGGGTAAATCTAACTCAAAATGAGTCCCAAAACGAGATACACAGAGTAAGGCCATTCTCTAGGCACCGTTTAAAATGACTGAGACTAGATTTCTCTTTTTGTATACATGGGATTTTGATGCCACATTTAAAAGAATTCTCTCAGGTGAGATCTTTCCTGCAAACTGCTGGATGGAAGCGGTTGTGGTGCTGCTTGTGAAATTAAATTTTTCTGTATCCTAGAGGCATCCTCCCACCGTGAACGTATCTGGCTGCTCACAGATACACACGCCAGCTCTCTTCTTGTTGAGCTTGCTTTGGAATGCATCGATTCAATAGGAGTGTTTGGTGATAATTAAGTGAAATGAATAATTATCATTTATATACTGCTCAGAGTACCCAGGCAAGCCTGCGGGAAGGAGCAGACATCCTCCGAGGAGTGTACAACTCACCTAAGCCAGCCTCTTTGAGCCCAGCAGAGCTCCAGAAAGGCAGGGAAGGGGCAAAGGAAGGTTTTGTTTTTTTTCTTAAAGCCTTTTTTTTTTTTTTTTGGTAAATCAGACGGAGTTAAATAAATCCTTCTTTCTGACCTCAAGATAATGGCCAACATTTCCCCTCTATCCTCCAGCTTTGCTAGTTACGTTCCTACCTGTTGTGATAAAGACTGGAGTTGCTTCAGTACCTGAAGAAGGTGCTGTAAAATCAGAACAGAAAGCCTTTGGCAGTTGTTACCTCAACTTTTATAGATTCTGGAGGGCTTTTGTTGCAGGGAAACTGAGGCTGGGGAGGGGGAGGACTGCAATAACATTGCTGTGCTTGGTAGTACCTGGAGGATTCCTCTAGCACAGCAGCTATGCAGGCTTCCCTTTGCTGCAGGACAAGTAGCTGCTGCATCTGCTGTAAGGAGAAAAAATGGAAATTAGGTCCAAATTCTGTGAAAGCAAGCCTCCAATATCAAGGAGCCTGAATCCAGTTTGGTTTCTAAAAGGCTCAGTAATAGCACCGTTAACTGGGGAATTCGGTGGGACATGAATGCGCCCAGTGTGCTTTTTTTATGTGACCTGTTACTGTAATTCCTCCAATGTTAAAATATAAAGTTAAGGTTAAATGATTTATCCTGTACCTGGGACTCGCCTGAACACCCATCTCTGCTGGAAACAACACGTTTTGTTGTTGTAGGTGATACCAACAGCCCCAAGAGCTGCTGGGCTGCACATTTCTTGGCAGCAGCAGCCTGAAAATCAACTGCTGCATTCTCAGTCCAGGCAAGGAGGTTAAGACTGTGGCCGTAAAGTTGCTACTACCTGCGGTTGATGTATTTTAAACTATTTTGCATGGGGAAATCAGATGGATTTTGTCATCAACTTGAATGGAACCAGTTGAGGCCTTCAGCTGTAAATATAATTTCTTTATTATAATTTTTGTGCTTCCTTCATTCATTCTTTAGGTTGATTTTGGATGGTGCTCCTCTTATAGCTATACATAAAGCCAGATATTTCAAGAAAAAAGATGGCTTGGCTCTGGGACCTGGACCTTTTGTAACTGGGCTGGAATACGCGACGGACACCAAAGCGACAGTGGTGGGGAAACCAGAAAAAACTTTCTTCCTGGAAGCTTTGCGAGGGACTGATTGTGCCCCAGAGGAGGCCGTCATGATCGGTGATGTACGTGGGGACCGATAAACTTCCTGTTAGCTCATTTCTGCTGTGTTGTGCCTCCAAAATGCCATGAACTGGTCTTTCTAAAAGCTCTGTGATTGAATGAGGGGTGAAAACTGACCTGTCAAAAGCTGCAGGATTTAATGGGGTTGGTTCTCTTACTCCAGTGGGTTTGATCAGGCAAAAAGCACATAGTAAAAATATTTCTGTGACAGTTTTTCTAATAGGTAGCTACGGGGTTTGACTCAGTGTAGCTGCTTTCAGGTGGCTGGTTAGTGATGTGCAAAGCAGAGAATGTCATTAAAACCTTGTTAATAAATTGTGTCTGTGACCACTAACCAACTGATCTTCCTGTTCTGTCCCAGGACTGCAGGGATGATGTTGGTGGCGCCCAGAACGCAGGCATGCGTGGGATTTTGGTGAGGACCGGTAAGTACTCGATGGATCCGTTATTTCAGGATGATATGAAGCAGCAGATGGGGGCTGCTGATCTTGTAGGTTGGATTTTTTTTTTCACTAATGAATCTAAAATTCTAAGCACTAGTCAAAGAAGAGAGAGAACTGTTACTGTGACATCTTAGATTGCCAAAATCAGTCACAGCAATGTAACTGCCGATCATTCGGGAACTCTGGTGACACTTCCTAGTAATTACACTGGTAATTATAAAAGTCATTTTCCTTCAGACAAAAGTGGAACCTTAAGGGACTTGACAATTATTATCAATGCTATTGATGGTCCATTTTGTTGAAAATGAAAGCAAACAATCCAGCTCTTCCTCATAAAAGCCAGAAGGGAAGATGAGAACATTATTATTTCAAGAATATCTGAATAGTCAGTGAAAGAATAGTGCCAACACAGTAGAGTGCATAAGTAACACTAATTTTGAGCCAGAGCTGTCCCTGGAGGTATCTTAAGTAAGGCTTAGTGTTTGTTTAGGGAAGATTTGTCAGATGTCTGTTGCAGGAGAACCTCAGATGGGCATTCCTCCTGCCACGTCTGGTTGTTACTGATCTGAGGCAGCTGTAATTTTCAGGGGGAAAAAAAAAGAAAAGAGTAAAAGTGTGTGTTTGTTAATCTGTTACAGGTAAATATCGACCAGCAGATGAAGACAAAATCAATCCGGCTCCTTACTTAACCTGTGAGAATTTCCCAGAGGCAGTGGAACATATCCTAGAGCATCTGCTATGAGAAAGGGAAGTTTGAAGAGACAAATGTTTCACATCATTTCCTTTAGTCTTGCTTCAAATATTAAGGTCACAGGATCAATGTATGTGTTACATCAGAAACAGAGCCGTCAGCTCCTTCCACTTGAGTTGGGAAAGAGCAAAGGATGGGTGCGGGCCCCAGCAGTCACGGCAAAGCCTCTTTCCTGTATTAGTTTCATGAGGCTGTGGTGAGGGACCTTGGATGCCCAAAAGGTGAGACAGAAAGTCTACAACCAACACAGCTGCTTTCCTGAATAATGTAGGGAGTATGGCAGAGAGTTCTGTTTATTTTCAGTTTTCAAGAAATAACTGATAAAAAAACCTGTCTGGAAAGTTTCATGTTCTTCTGCTGAATAAGCTAAACTGAAAAAAAACCCACTGGAAATACTCAAAAAAAATAAACCTCAGAGACTACCAGAGCCTTACTCGGCCTGTAGTGATTTCACTGAGTATGCCTCTGCTCTGCTCTAATTTAAAGGTAGAGATTACGCACATTTAGAAGTTATTTTTAAATTAAAATATCACCACTTTTTAATAATAACTACTGCTGCTATCTTTCCTCTCATTAGAACAGATCTTATTTTTTTGTTTTTCAAATTTTACATAAAATTAAAACTGTCAGCGTTTTACAGATGTTTTAATTAGATGCTGTTATTAAAAAGAATGGTACAGAAACAAAAATCTGGTATTAAATGCCTTAGAGACTGAATTTTTAAAATTAGTCTTCAGCAGGGTCCTCTTAATGCTACATTTGCAAAATTTCACTAGTGTTGGGTTTTTTTTCTTTCTTTTTAATGTTATAGGAAAAATCCTTCACAAGCCGTGGGGACAGATTCCAGTTTTTACACAGTTGGTTAGCAGAGCTGTAAAATGAAATTTAATTCTGTAGGAAGCAGTGCTTTTCCTGTGTGTTAAATCCCCCAACTTTGTAATGATGGTAAATAGCTTTTCTGGTCCATTTACAAACTGTAATAATCCAAGTCCTTTACAGTTGTTTTACAGTGCTCCTGAGTGTTAAATTATTAGATTGTAATTATACATTGCTGGAGAATTAACCTTATTGAAAATACAGTTTTGTGTTAATGAGCCATGCTTGTTCTTGTTAAGAAAAATCATCGTGATGAATGAATGGGAAGCTTTCCTTACACAAAATATTGTCTATCTGCAGTCTCACTTGGTGGGTCGTTACCTACGTTCAGGTTTAATCACTGTCTGAGAACGTGTGGACAGAGCAGACTTTGTACTAGAACTACAAGAAACTGTAAACCCCCCAGGAGCAAAAGCTGTCTTTAGATACTGGTTGTGTGCCCTCATAAATTGTAATTTACAGTTTTGAATAAATTCACACACCTGGTGTTCATGGCAACAATTCTGAACCTGTGTTGGTTTCTGCTTGGAGTACAGCAGGGAGGTGTTTGGCCCATAGTCAGAGTCAGGTTCAGGGGGTGAGAGATCTAGAAAAAAAATCCCGTGAAGATATTTCACATAAAGACTTCTGACAATGTTACTGATGCTGGAAAAAAAAGAGACTCTTGGTGCTTCAGAGGTCCTGGGGCATGCTGGAAAGCATGCAAGAAAACTTGGAAGAGCAGCTGCACACAAGCCCATGCAAGGAAAACTGCAAAAAAATATATATATCATGGTCCTGCCAAGCACGAGGGAGGGGAAGAGAGCGGCAGCAATGAGACCCAAGAGCTTGAAAAAATGACTTAGAATTTCTAATTAAAAAATTGCAGGACACGGGGCAGTCCTGACTGCTTACCTGACCGTGTTTATAAGCAGAAAAGTCTCCAGCTTGACTAGTATTTACCACAGCGTTGCAACGACTCGCTGTTTGCATTTTATGGCTGGCTGCGAATCAGTGGGTAACCACAAATCCACTTTCCAGTTAGATGAGCCCAAATCTGCTGGTTTTTCTGCAGTGTCTCCAAGTTCCTCTAATTCCTTGCCTTTCCACCTTGGAAATACCCCAAACCAACTGGAAAGTAACACATTTGGCACATCAAGGCTTTGATCTCAGCTGAAGATGACGACAAATTAAGCAAATTTACTGCTAAGGTCCTGAATTTCACTGCAAGCAGTGACTTACAGTTTCATTAAAAAAAATTTTAATTAAAAAAATTTTGCAGGTCTGTGCTGCTAAAGCTACACTGATGGTGATGCTCTAGCGAGTCTCAGAAAGGGAGAATTACACTAACCATTAACTGGTCTTAACGAGCTTTCTGTTCTGTTCTACTCCAAATCTGTAAACAACTGTCATGAATAAAAAAAACTGAGAAGCAAGTAATCTTTTAGGTCTTTATAAATAAAATTAAGGCTGGAGTCTTCATTACATAGCAACTGCCATGCTGCCACTACATTAACTCCATGCAGAATGTTTTTTAATGGTCACTGAAAATGGCTAATAAACAATTTCCCCCTTAAATTTTGAAAGTGAAGAGTTCCTCCCAACACTTTCCTTCCTCATCACCATTCAATCCTTTGGAGGCAAGGTGATGCCATTTTGGATAGTAAAAGTCTTGGAAGTTTTCAGTCTTTTGGGGTTTTTCTTTTCAAACTGACTCAAATTCTTCCTGCCAAGCTGCGTACTTCTGGCGTAGATTTTTTGCTGATGGCTTGGAGTGGGCAATCACATCCAGGAAATCTTCTGTTGTGATCATGTCTAATCGGATCACGGGTAAGTTACTGTTACCTAAAGAGAAGAGAATTGATTAAATACTGTTTTTTACCAAAAGACATTTTATGTCCCTGCCTAATGCAACACTTAATATACAAGATAAAGAAAAACATGTATTTGTGCACAGAGCACAGATACTGACAGCTTTAAAAAAAAAGCCTAATTTTCAGAAACATTAGCTTAGATAGATGCTTTAGAAACAAAATTTAGAACTTGTCTAAGCAGATAACAGAGCTCCACCTGCTGGGGTTAACATTATAATTTCTAGAGTCACAGCAGCAGAGCAGTGTTTCCCTGATCGAATTCTTTCCTGTGGTACCTGGCTGATGATTTTCAAGAGCATCAAAAATCTTCCTCACTGGTCTCATCGCTGCTTCCTTGCACACGAGCTTTATGTCTGAGCCGGAGTATCCTTCTGTTGCCTTTGATGGGATCAGAATGATGCATTACAGCTTATAGATCGGACAGGAATGGCGTTTACAGACATATATAGTTATAAAAAATATTCGTAAAGTCTATTCTTGTCTGAAATATATATACACACATGTATTTTTATGTGTACCCTCCCCTCAACATTATTCTTGTTTTGAATGCCCACAATACCTTGTAGGAGCAAGGAAAATACTGTGCATTTTCTTTCCAAAGGGCAATTTTGAGTAGGTCAAATGAAACTCATCTTTCTGTGTCCGTTCTCAGCTTCCCTGTTCATAAAATAACTAAATTTCCTTATTCACATTTGTGAAACAAAAACTGAGCAGTACTGACTGTGAACAGATGTAAAAAGGGCCAAGTGGGTAAGCTGCAAGATATTTTTTTAAAATTTAGGATGTGATAAAGGGCTAAACGAAGAAAGCCCGTGTATCTCATGAATCTTTTCACTGTCTAAATGCTCTTTTCTCCTGCAGCAGTGGAGCTGTGACAAACCTTCCCTACGCAATTAACTGTTCATTACCCTGATGCATTGGAAGTGCTCCCAGCTTGGTGAGAAGAATGATAAAATATACTGTTGCGGGAAGTCTCCCTGTATTTAAGGTTGAAAAGTTGGCTCAACAGAGAGGGTCAGAGCACACCGTTTTGCAAGCAGAGCTGTGTGATTTCCATGGCCAGTGGAATCCTCAGCCCTGTGTCTCGCTGCTCTCCCTTCGGCTGGAGCCTCAAACTGAGCTAAGCTGCTTCCCCCAGCTCTGTGTGTCACGATTGTTGTGTACGGAGGTGCAGTCCCAACTCTCTGCTTCAAAATTCTTCTGCCATGACATAATCCCACTTCTGTGGGTGATCTAAGTCACTTTTTCTTATGGTTCCCACCCAGAAAGACCTCAAAAACCGAGTGGGCGTTGTCCCTGGTGTCTCACCTGTCCCAACAAGCCATAGTCCAGATCTGTTCTCAGCTCCACTCCTCTGCTGTTGCTCCGAGGGGGCAGCCAGTGCTGGATCATCACCTGCCGTGCTTCTTTACTTGGAAGATCAACCAAAATCCTCTTCTCCAACCGCCGCAGCATGGCAGAATCTAACTCCCTGCAAGCAAAGGAGGAGAGGAATCATCTCAGCATGTCTCGTTGTGGAGACATGGCTTTGACAGCAAGCTCCTCACTGCAGGGACTGACAGTTTTCAGCCTCACCTGTAACTGTCTCAACCTATTTTTGAAAAAATAAAAAAATTTATTATCCAGTGTATTCCTGTTCAGCACAATAGCAATACGCTGAGTTGTGACAATGAGGCTTAACAGTATAACAATCAGAAATTTTAGTTATTTTCTGGGACTCATCTGCAGCATGTCTCATCACTAATAACCTTTCCAATAACCAAACTGTCTGTCTGGGCTACTGTCAGGACTAATTAATTGCTGCTTTGTAAGGGAATCTTTGTAGGTATAAAATACAGACTGAAGGTCTTGAATGCGAGGATCAGATTTATGGCAGAACAAGACGGTGATCTGAGACTGCTCCTGCAACACTAACTATAAATAAAACTGCCACAAAGGAAAATATCTTTATGAAAAGGATCATGGGAAGGACAGGCTGGATAAACGGGTCAATGAGCTAAAAACCTGTTGACATCAGCACTGATAAAACTATTTTGCCTAAAAGAAAAGGAAAAACAGGAAAAAAGATAAAAAATACAGAATATTGGGACTACTCTTTATTTTCACTTGCTTGTGGTGCACAAAGGAAATCTGAAAGAGAAATTAATGGTTTTTTTCTGTTCCTTTCTCAATGCATTTCATCACCATCTAGAAATAGTCCCTCTTGTCAGTGAAGAGTCAGGAGTCCCGGTATGCCCAGCACACCAGCTCTTCTCTGACATGCACCCAAACAATTCATTTTAATCTATTTTTTTTCCCCAAGTGCTTTTCAGTTAGTTGTTTGCATCTAATGGTAACAGAACCAAACAACTGACCACAAATTCCTACTCCATCCCTTGTCACTTGTGTAATGTGAACAGTCTACAAGTACCCAAAACAACCATACAATTTTCAAGAAGAAATAGCTGCTACAAAATATTTACTCATTTATAAGTTTCCAGCGCCTTCCAGGAGCTGCTGTGAGCTATTATCCTTCCAAGCTCCGTACCAATCTTTCTCTACTGGCCCCATTCCGTCACAGACTTGTTATTTCAGTTTAAAATACAATTCACTCCTCGTACCTGCAGAGAAACTCTCATCAAGGGGAAACTCACTTCAATGTGTCTTGTGCAGAGAAAAAAACCAGGAGCTCTAAGCATGGTGTTCCACCCTTGTTGGCCGAGCAGAGATACACTTAAATAAACTTGTTTCTACCTTTCCTGATTTCTGGGTTAAATCCAGCCAGCAAAGTCAACATTCAAGCAACGCTTCTTGTATGAAACTCCTCTTCTAATTTACAGGCAGCTCAAAGCCAGCTCAAGACAGATCTGTAGCACACCAATAGGGCTTATTTCCAACACCGTTGGTGACTTGTCCCTATTTTTTAATAATAAATGTTTTCTACTGGGATAACACATGATAAAGGACACCAAAAATGGGCTCCCAAATCTTCATACAGGTGCAGATTTTAGTTTGGGAGAGCTGGTTCCACGTGTGCTGAGCCAAGGGCAATGAAAGGGAAGATTACAAAACCCGATCAATAGGAACTCAGAGGACAAGAGGAATTCGCCCAGATCCATCCCGGTACTTCTAATCGAGGCGTCAGAAGTAAATACCAGAGTTTGCTAATCAATGGCTTGTTGGTATATTGATATTATTAGTCATTTTTTTTAGGCTGTCCTACACATTGGTGCAACGCCTCTCGTAGAGGGTCCCACCCAGAATGAACCGTTTTAGTCCCCACTCTCCTTCCAAATGTATTTTTCAGCTCAACTTCTCCTCAAAATTGTTTTGTTTGGCTGAAAAGAATAATTCTCTGGCTGACCAACCCCTTGGGTGTTATTTACCCATATTACCATCCTCCACATAAACAGAGTAAAAGTTCTCAGGGTTTTCGAGGTGCCCATGCAGATATTCCCAACTGCCCTTGAAGGCAAAGGACAATCAAAGCCAGAGTCTCTGCAAATACCCTACAAATCCTCTAAAGGATGATGTTTTCTGTCACTCCTGCTTCAGAGCACTTACAGAGTGTTCCCCAATATCACAGTTTCATGAGTTCCTCTGTAAATAAGTCCCCTGACACAAAGAAGTTGCTCTATTTATCCAGAAAGGTTATGGTGACCCTGCTTGTTGGCTAAAGAGGAAAACAAAACATAATATTTTTGTTATCTTGTTTAGGTTGTTTGCTGAATTGTTTGGTTAAGTGATCAAATGCAAGGTTAATTAACATTCAGCAGAATAGAATAATAAGCACTGAGCCAACGAAAATATTCTCTGAAATAATAACCGATAAAAGTAGTACAAAACACTCATGAAAAGATACACAAAGCTGGACAGGACCTATAAAAACAGGTGACTTTTTGGAGCTCCCCCAGGTTGACATCACAATGCATCATGCCATGTTATCACTCCCAAATTTCATGAAGATAAACAAGACAAACATCTGTTTTCATTTCCAGAAGGCAGAAGGGTAACAAATGCATTTTAGGCAGAAATTAAGAGACCTCAACAACTCCAGAGGTCTCCTCTTCCCAGTAACAAGAGATAGGACAGGAGGAAATGGCCTCAAGTTGCACTGGGGGGAGGTTTAGATTGGGTATTAGGAGAAAATTCTTCACCAAAAGGGTTGTCAAGCACTGGAACAGGCTGCTCAGGGAAGTGGTGGAGTCACCATCCCTGAGGGTATTTAAAAGACATGTAGATGTGGTGCTTAGGGACATGCCTTAGTGATGGACTTGGTAGTGTTGGGTTAATGGTTGGACTCGATGATCTTAAAGGGTGTTTTCCAACCTAAATGATTCTGTGATTCACCCATCCCAAGGGTAGGGAGGGAGAAGAAAGCAGCACTGCAATGGAAGTCAAATTAAATGAACTAATACATTAGGAAACATTCACTACGTGGTTACGGATCACTTGCTTTCTTCACTAATGAGGCCTTTATTTTATTTAATTATGTCAAATCATTTCAACAAGTAATTTGTCAATAGAAAGTGCCTTGGTGAAGCTTGGGCAACATGCGCTGGCTGAAGAGGAAGATCAATAGCTGCAGTGCAGCTTAGGACAGCGTAAAGAGCTTCTTTTCATTCATCTAAAAGCAGCTTGATACTAATTTTTTTTTTCATGATCAATAAAGATCCAAGTTAAACAAATCTCTTGAAATCCAGCTTAATACCAAATGTTTGCGAGAACACAGGGCTGTGCTGTGAAGCCACAACCTCCGACTGTAGTACTGTATTTTGAAACTTTCTCTGTAGTAGGCACATTTCTGGCAGACAACCTCGTCATTACACTCATAGGTTGGGTTTGTGTAAGACAGGACAAAGTCCAGCCTGCCCATGAGCAATGTTGAGAAAGTCCAAAACGAAATTCGAAGCTCTCAGGTATAAATTTTTGAAAGTGGGAGCTGGCTTCTCACAACCTCTCCACTGCCACCCTTGTACCAACACAGATTGCCAGCTTTCTGCAGGATCAGTTGCCCCAAAATAGAAACCTTGTCATTTTGGATCTACCTTAAAAAAAAACCTGTGTCATTTCTGATGTTTCAAAGAAGCAGTTTTGCAGACATTAGCACTTCAGGATTGCAAAATAATCCAAAAATCAAATGTGTAAAACATTCAAAACTGTATTCTGTAATTTCTGCATGACTTTCCAGAAAGAGTTTCAGCTGCACCAGGCAAACATGTTAACAAGACACATGCAGGAATCTCTTTCTGCAGAAGCACGCAGAGAGAGGTCAGCCTCGTGCTCACATTAACACATCTCCAAGATCCTTCCATCCAGCATCAGCCACACAGTGACCTTCAGACCTGTTGCTACCTCTGAACTCTTCCTCGGTGGGTTTCAAATACCCAATTTATCCTTTCAAACCCATATGCAAGAGTAGAAAAACATGGATCCTCTAAAGACATCTGATCCTTTTTAATACTGCCATGCTGCAGCATTACATGTGAAGCTTAGCTGCTCACAGGAGAATTTAAAAGACCGCAGAAAGGTGCAATGCACTGCTCAGAGTTCCTCTTTCTAAAAGGATAACGATGCTACAATAATGTAAACATTTATACTGTATTACTAGTGAACCATAAAGAGACAAATGGATTATTAATGTATTAATTATCTTTCAAACCTAACTGTTCACACACACAGTAGCTACTTATTTTTCATCATTTTCTTACACAACTAGAACATAATTAAATCAAATTCTGTTCCATTCCTTTCATGTAGATACGGTAACTCAAAATAGGGTGGATTTTCTACTGATTTAAATTCATGAGTTTGTCCAAGGCATAAATCCCCCAAACCAACACACAAACTCCATTATTACAGCTCTAAAAGCCAGCGATGGCTTTGTACTCACACTGCTGGGCCAGGGCAGGAACCAGCCTAACTTGTACATCTAATTTCTACATAAATTTTAGGTGCCCACACAGCTATTCTTCTAGTTAAAGAGCCTGAAAGCCCTGGACAGGCCATAGAGAGAGGCAGATGAAATTCTCTGAATTTGTTGCCTGTGTGGCACTTGAATTTCTACCTGGTGGCTTTTAGAAGCATCCTTCCTTGACTGCATGGGAAACACAAGATCTTGCATTAGGAAAGAAAATGTAGAGGGAAAGATAGGCTTGTAGAGGAAGTGGACTGGATCTCTTCCCATGATGGACAAAAACTCCAGCATTTACATCAGAGAAGGGCTGTGTAACTCTCAAGTGACTTCTTAGGTATTTATTTTATCTCATTTTTATGTTTTTATGCAGTAACTATGCCTCTACGCCTAATTTCTGAGACCACTCCCCTTTGTCTTTCTCACATTCAGAAGAAAGAAATCCTTTGAATTACTCTCACAGCGCCTAGATTAGGCCCCTGCTTTGATTTACAGCATCACGGAATGGCTGAGGTTGGACAGCATCTCTCGGAGATCATATAATCCAACGCTCTGCTCAAATCAGGGTCAGCCAGAGCAAGTTGCTCAGGGCCACATCCAGGCAGGTTCTGAACATCTCCAGGGATGGAGACTCCACAACCTCCCTGAGCAACCTGGGAGAATGTTTGATCTTTGAACTTTCATGGGATTCCTGTGGGCTCATTCCTTCAGCCTGTCGAGGTCCCTCTGAATGGCAGCACAACCCCCTGGTCTATCAACTGCTTCTCCCAGTTTTGGGAAGAAAAGGAAAAGATGTTCTACTGAAGATGTCATGGATCAGTAGCCCAGGGACAGGGGGAATCTCCGGGCAGGCAGAAATCCACAACTAGTTCCAGACATATAAAAACTAACTTCAAAAACAAGCCCATCATCAATGTGCTGCAATTCCCTGTACAGGTGTTGGCTTCTACTCTGGAAAAGGGAATCTCGGGGCAGGCAGAAATCCACAGACTAGTTCCAGACATATAAAAACTAATTTCAAAAACAAGCCCATCATCAATGTGCTGCAATTCCCTGTACAGGTGTTGGCTTCTACTCTGGAAAATGATTAGTGAGTTATAAATCAGACTATTAAAAATAGCTGCACTTAACGAACGGCCGTTGTTTTCCCCATGTACTACTTGCAACCGTTTGATAATGGTGTGTTATGAAAGAAAAAGATGTAGTATTATATCTGGGGGACACTCTTCAAGGAGAGCACATGAGCTGGCTGTTTTCTGCTGTCTGGTGGACTATCCCCAGCTTCCACAGTTTTTACACTACAAATGTTACCTCTTTACCTCATCCCCTCCTGTCCATCTTGTTCTCAATACACATCCTGCCCATTTTGAGAACCAACATGATGAAGTGCCCTAGTTCCAATCTTGAACCGTTTATTCTTCTATTCGAAATTATGTTAAAGAAACTGAAAAATTTTATCCCTCAACTTTTAAAAGTCACAGCTGATACCAATAAAATCCAACATTCCTATTTATGGAGTATCCTTCTAAGCACTAGATTTTTTAAGCACCTTACAGTTCCAAGCTGAAACCCTTCTTAACTTAAAACATAGTAAATAACTTGCCTACAAGGTCAAATACTCCTTTTTAAATACTAGCAGCTGGTAGCACCAGCATATGTCGACTTTATGATGGATTATTCTCATGTGGCACAAATAGCAAGAATTGTAGAGTTTAAAAGTAAAAGCTCCAAATTAATCTTTAAATGCTTTAACCAAATATCAAGGCTTTTTCTGCAAAATTCTAAATAAAATCTTTATCTGTGCTTAGAAGCTCATGCAAATGTATTCAAAAATGTACTCTCTGGATCTCTTACCATGGCAGATTGGAAGCTGCTAAAACAAATACAAGATCATCAGATCGGGCCAAGCCATCCATCTGCACCAGTAATTCTGTTTTCATCCGCCGACTTCCTTCATGTTCACCACTACCAAGATTCAGAGAAATAGTATTTGCTCAGTGCATTAAAGTAATCATCTTTATTTATACAGTGTCATTCACAGCAACTGAGCCCTTGTCACAGTTTTTGTCCCAGTTCAAAGCATGATTAAGCTCCATTAGCTAACATCTAAGCATTAAAATCAAGCTTTCTAATGATTACTTAAATGGACTCTTTCCAGTGCATTAAAGTGAGGAGAATTCACTATTACTGAATCCAAAGAAATTATTTTTTTCTTCATAATAATCTGCATGGAACATTGATGTTTACTGGCAAATAGCAAAGGCTTTGATTGATTGATCCACATAAGAGAATTTTTATAATGTGATAGCTACCATTAAATAACTAAGACACCTAAATATTTAGGGCAACTACTGGTATTTTTCTGTGGGTGCATCTTAAGTGGCTACAAGAAGATACACCTATCACTGAATTCAATATTTTGCAAAATGTTATTTCAAAAGCAAACAGAAAAAATACGCCGTATTGAAATGAATTTAAAAATGGGGCAGAGACCACACAGAAAGGATCCTTCCTCAAAAAAGAGAAGGAGAACTTAAGCAAAGTGCTAAGAATTCTGGCCCTGATCCAGGTAACCAATTTTACAGTTTGAACTCTTGGTCCCAGATGTGGAATTCCTGGAAACTCCTGGATCAAACCCAGAGAAAACATCACGGCCTTAGATGGTTAAGAGCTACAATTCGGGTTTAATGGCTTGTTTCTGCAAAGGCATCCACACATGGGTGCTATGTCAATATTTAATAAGAATACGTAAAGAGAACCACTTAATCTTAGATTAAAATCCTTATTAAAATATATAATCCAGGATGTTAATGAGAGCTTTTAAAAATATATATGAAGGCAAAATTTGGCCCATAATTTATAGCTATTAACTGACAATTATCGCAGGTTTTATCTTTATGATATAGCATATTCCACCTATACACCGTTGTGGGCATATAATTTACAGTACATAAAATCCACTGTAATGGGCTCCTAACGGTTATAATAATATTTTTATATTTCTCCTGCTTCTTCCTCCTCCCTAACCTTTTCAATCTGCTTTTAACTATAAACTATCTACACCACAGATGACAATAACAACATCCTCCCAATCCTACATCGGGAAGTCCTGACAATGCCACCAAAATTTGTCCCATTAATGAGAATGCCATTCCATCGTGCTATGCCTAAGCCTGCCCAAAGTGTCACAAAATCAGCTGCTTCTTCTTCGCCTCTAACAAGCCATCTGTTGTTTTTATTTTCTTTTCACACCCCTTATTTTAAAATACAGCACCACTGGCTGTACGCTCTTGCATCTCCCTCCTTCTCAGAGTCTTACTGGACCCATAGTCCCAGGCTCATCTTCACACAACCTGGCTTTCAGGCTTGTTCTCTACTGATCTCATCTATTGCGAGTGAAACAACCACTACATCTCGCTCTTTAAATCCTTACAGCGTACACAACACTTCCATGAAGTGACACTTTTGGAGCTGATAGGCATTCTGACAATAACACACTGTGAGGCTTCTAAAGTTGACAATAGAATAAAAAAAACCACTCAATAAAAAGTCATGAAAATTACCATTATTGCTCAAAATAGTGATACTGTCAATAAAATCTATAAGACAAGTCTTTCAGGGGCCAAATCATGCTCCTGTTGAAGTTTATAGAGTAGCCTCAGGCTTTAGTTTAGCTAAGATTAGTTTCTGACAGGTACACTGTAGGATTAAACATCAGTCAGCGCCTGAACATGCACGCTATTGAAAATACGCAGTAAAAAGAGGGATAAATATTTTCCTAAAGCCATAGGAAGCAGTCTCAGCAGTTACCCAGAAGCAGTGCCTCTTTGACTCATAACTGATTCCAGCTCATCCAAGAAAATTGTGGAAGGAGCATGGTACCGGGCAAGCTCAAATAACACCTGTTTAGAGAGAAGAGTAAATGCAACAGAAAAAAACTAACAAGAAAACTAACACAAAAAGGCATGAAGGGCCACTGGTATAGAAGATAAATAACAGTAGTCACATTCCAAATTTTCAGGATAAAAAGGGGGTATCTGCTGGGAAAAAAGCTCTGGGTAGGCTGAGGGTTCCTGAATCCTCTGAAATTCTGAGAGGTTTGTAAAGGAGATATAAAGAACGCAGGCTTGTAATCCTGTCTTTATATGTCAGTCTTTCTGGCTAAATCCTATCAGAGTACCCTGCGAATAATGGGATAGAAGAAAATTATCCATCAGAGGATTCTGGGAACTCCTGAATTGTTATCAGAGATTAAATATTTGTCCTTTGTTGTTGCTCCATTTGTAGTTGTTTAAATAAGGATTTGAGAAAAAAAAATGCAAAATCAGCTGAACCATAATGAAAGAAAATGGACTGATTCTTTTAATAAGAATCAAGCAGTTCTTTTGTTTTTCCTGGTGAAAACAAATATAAACTGCTTGAACAATCAAGATTTTAAAAAATGGAGTATTAAGCTGACACACAAAATCCAGGTCTGCCTTTCTGAGAAAGAAGTTTCATCTATTTTTCTGTAAACATGGAGAGGCAGAAAGAACATATTGTCAGTTTTTCTGCAGTGAAATGTTCTTTAAATAAATATCACCAATAATATATATTAATCCAGCACTTTGTAATCTGAACGCTTAAAAAAACAAATTTAAAAATTTATATATTATTTTCTTTGGATATGAAGCACAGAGTTTAAATTACTTGCCCACAGTCATAAGTAGTCCATGACCAACACTGTAATTAGTACTGTTAAAGGAAGCAAAAGTTTGAAATTAAGCAGGATAATGGATTATATAATACTCTTGCCATGTAAGTGGCTATTCCAAGATAGTTGAAACAAAACCTGTATGCTATAATATCAGTTGTGTTTATGCATCTGCTATCACTGCTCTCATGCAAAGGATGCTGGCAGTTTTCAGTCTACAATTTTACTACAAGTCGAAAATATAAAATCACACCAACACAGCTGAGAACTGGAGGAGCAGACATTCCTCCAAGTAAGCAAAAAACCCACATGTACTCCCCGTAACTTCAGAAAACTCTTGCAGCAGCCTCATGTGATTTTAGGATGTAAATTCACACGATACTTTTCTTAGAGCTGTCCTGATCCACAATCTTCTTTGATTTTTGGATTCTGCCAAAAACTCAACTAAGGATAAAATGCCACAATTCAGTATCGTTGCAAATACTGCAGCATATTCACAGAAACCTTTTGTCTGACGGTGTCAAAAACCTACTGTTCCATCCCTACTCCTGCCAGGAGGGAAACTTCTAGGAAGCTCCTGAGACAGATGTCAAGGCAATCAATAACATTGGGGGTGAATGTTAGAAGAAAAATGTGCCATTTTAAAGGACAAAGGACACTTGAAGAATAATTATGTTTCAGACACTGCCTAAATCTCAAGGGAGATTAACAATGCTTGTAATGCCATTTGCTGAGTGCAATCTGTTATGATTATTCACTTTCAAGAGCTCTGTATCTATCTGAAGTCAATCCTTGCAGAGAGGATGTGAAGCACTTTGAAGGGGTAACTAAACAAACACTACTTTAGTTAGGAACTCTGTTTGCCTGTCTCTTATTCAGTGAGTCAAAAAGCTTTGCTGCCTTCAGGACATCTGCTTCATCTTACATTACAGAACTAAAATTCCACAGCAAGAATCTATTGTGAGACTTCTGCAGAAGTGATATTATTTCCATTTTAAGAACTAGATATGAAAAGAGTCATACGTTTTGTCCAAGACAGGAAAGATTGTGAGTATCAGAGGAATACTCACTTTCCAGTTCTGTGTTAAACTCCAGTTCTTTAAGTGGGAACCTGATGTCTGCTAAAGTATAATGAATGAGAAAATAATCCTTACCCGGACGAGTTTTTCTGAATCACCCCTCCATTTGCTGACAATGGTGGATGCTGATATGTTAAAAAAGGTTGTATTGCATTCTGTGGCAACAGCCTTAGCAAGCAAAGTTTTTCCAGTACCTACGAACAACAGAATTGAAGAAATTCACTGTCTAAAGAAATACAATGCAAATGTTTGAATAATTCCCTTCATCCCACTACCAGTCAGATAAAAACAGTAAAATAGAAGAAGTCACAGAATCACAGAATGGTTTGGGTGGGAAGGGACCTTTAAAGATCATCTAGTCCAACCCCCCTGCCATGAGGGACATCTTCACCTAGATCAGGTTGCCCAGAGCCCTGCTCAACCTGACCTTGAATGTTTCCAGGGATGGAGCATCTACCACCTCTCTGGGTAACCTGTGCCAGTGTTTCACCACCCTCATTGTAAAAAATTTCTTCCTTCTATCTAGTCTGAATCTCCCCTCTTTTAGTTTAAAAACATTATCCCTTGTCCTGTCGCTACAGGCTACTAACAAGTCTGTCCCCATTTTTCTTCTAAGCCCCTGGGAAAACACCCAGCTACCACAGCAGAAGGCAAAGCTTCCACCCCATTTCCAAAACAACCCCTAAATGCAGAACAAAGAATGAACATTTTTCTTAAGAAGGTGAGTCCATGCCAGATTTATTCACATTTTGTAAGACCACGTCAAACCAAACTTGATTTATATGGCCCAAGCTGAGTAAAACCAGTGATATAACATGAGTTCTCTTCTGAATGGTTAGTATAAGTACTGGTATTTGGAAGATTCAGATGTAGAAATAGTCCAGGGTTGTGAGAAAGACAAATGGACAGGTTTGAGTGTGAGAGACAGATGTAATCATGCAGCATTGTCTCCTTTTATTTTACATTACAGAATATGCTCTTTATTAATTAATCCAATTAGCATCAATGATTTATCTGTGGGACAAAACCATAACTAATGATAAACAAACAGATATGGTAGAAAGCTCTTCATACCTGGTGGTCCATACAGCAATAATCCTTTCCAAGGAGACAGAATGCCTGTAAACAGCTGGGGGTACTGTGGAAACCGGAAAGCAATTCAGGGATTAAAAATGTGTCATCTATAACAAAACACAAGGGATTCTAACCCATAGCCACTGTGCTCCCAATGCATCCAGGAAACCTAAGAAATTTGAAGAGAGGGGGCAAACTCCTCCAAAACAATAAAATATGTATGTTCTGAGTACTGAGAGGAATACTTTATTTACTATTTTAAATTAAGAGAATTTTTCAAATACAACCGGCTTGATATCCTTTTCCATAAAGCATTTTCCATTGAATTAACATAGGCCAAATCCAGCACATCCTACATTGCCAAAAGTGCCAAAGAATAGACCCAAAGCTTATAGTTTTAATACCAAAAGGCCATTTTCCTATAGGAGAATGTGCATGCCGTTGTCCGATGAAACAGGAACATAATAGTTCTAACATGAACTGGCTACAAAAGCACAGAAATAGTGAGAACTCTAAAACACCACTGTAATTACAAGGAAAATGCTAATGAGCCCAACACTGCTTTTCTCAAAACTATTTAGTGCCTTACCCTGATGGGATAAACAACTGCTTCCTTGACTAGCCTTTTAGCTGCATCCAGTCCGATAATATCATCCCACTTCACGTTTGGATTATGGAGATAAATGTCCTGCAACACACAATCGCATCCTGTTAGCAAAACTTAAGTTCTTCTGAACTAGGATAACCACCTCTGGGCAAAGGAAATCAACCCAGTTAAAAATGAATAGTGCCATTAAGTGATACAAACTGTATTATTTAACTTTACGTACTAGGCAGCTCACAAGAGGAAAGCACACACAGCCCTAGCTTCCCTAAGAGCATATGTGCTGCCAAATGTATATGCTGAGGGGATCTGCTTCTCAAATCTGTCTTCTCTTGGTTGGTTTTAGTAAACAACTAGCATACAAAGAGCTCTCACCAAGCCTAATATTTTGTCTCTGATGCTGGCAAGTATTGGATGTTTAAAAAAAAAGTAAGTATAAGCAATAGGAGTGATCGGTTGGTTCATATGTACATTGACCTTCTCAAAATCTGTGACCAAAGGACTTTGATAATTAAAATTACATCTTAGTCTTTGAGTTCAAACACCTTTTGACATTCACACTCCAGTGAATTTCTCTTACCTCTTTTCTGTACATGCTTATTCTGTAGTAATGAGTTCCACAGTTTAATCAATGTGAAAATACTTTTATTTTTTTTACACTTGATGCTCAGGAACTTTATGGCTGAACCTATTACTCATGTTATAAGTAACAGTGAAAAATTGCTATTTACTCCACACAACACCAGATTTTATATGCTGCACGAAAAGGTGTGAGAAGCTCTGTAACAGGAGGAAAGTTTCCCCCTAAGCATCTATCAAAAGATAGTCGGTAATTAGTCTATGCCCTGAAGCGCTCACTAAATTAATTTCATTTAATTCATCAAACTTTCCAAATCTTTCCATTCACTTTAGTAATATTTTGGGGCTTTGCATTCCAGAGACTAATTGTTCAGCAGAAAATTTCATATCCTCAATACAAATATTTGAGATAAATTCTCCTCTCCAATAAAAACACGCAGTCCCCAGAGACTGAAGAAAAATGATGTGCTTATATCCGAGGGGAAAATTTGATTTAATACAATTAGAAAAATTATTTATATGGAGTAAATTACACTTTCCCTTTCTATTAACAGCAAATTAAGATGAATCAGATTTATGATCCTAAGTAGAGACTTCCATAACTGTTTCCAAATTAAATTAGGTTGTGTTGTGAAATAGATACCACATGCTATTTATTTTTATTGATTTACACAGTGTTGATTACCATAGCAACTAGGAACATACCAGCACAATTTAATAAACATACCATAACGAAGGCTAAAGCAACCCTCTTGCTTTCTGCTATAGAGGCAGCAAGAATAACAATATTTTCAAGGATGAATGAGAATTTTCTTACTTTAAGGTTGGAAATTTCTTAAGGCTTCAGTTCTACTAAACTGCAAACACAAAACTTGCATATTGAGAATTTGGATCATATACAACTATAAAAATCAGTCAAAAAAAGTCTTCCAGGCTTTTTAAACCAGCTGATTTTAAATTAGAGCAACGGTTGATAAGATTTCTGATGCTTATATCCAGAAAGAGTCACAACCCTATCAAATATCGTGATAATATGAAGCCTTTTGGCCAAGCACCTAGCAGGATTTGGGAGGTGATGCATGCAATCATTTCTGTATTTTGCAGTCAGGCTGATCCCCAGCAGCCCAGAGCCAGTTTGCTAGACTGCACCTCAACCCATGAATGAAATGAAACAGTGCTGACAGTGTTGGGATTCCCTCCAGGTGTCGAACTGCCCATCCTGTAAGAATCTGATGTGTATTATTGATGCTGTTTGTGCAGCTCCTATGCTGGGATATCGCTGCAATACTGGCACACCATCCACATGGAATACAGCACAGTGCCTTGAATGAAAACTGCACCCACGGATTTGAATCAAGGTTTTTCCCTCCATTTGATCACAAGTAGATGATCGTTGGTATTTGCTAATATATTTAAATCTCTCTTTTCAATGAAGTATTGTACATTTTCTGCAGCAATATGAACAAAAGGAAAAGCTTCAACAGTCTCATGGGTACCACTTGATTAGGTTCCAAGCTCCCCCTTAGAAAGGAACAGTCTTAATTACTTCCTCCCATTGTGTATCAGAAAGAAAGATTGTTACGTCTAAAGAAATTACTTTCTGGGAGTTGCATGGTAATAAAAATAGCTCGCACATGCAAGAATAAGCACTATCGATGACAGTAAAAAACAAACAAAGGTAACCAAGATCTCTATACAACTGGAATGGAGATCTGATCTTACTTTGCTTATAACTGTTGCAAGTTCTCTCATCTCACTAGTCATGCCAATAAAAGCACTAAGGGGTTTCAATAATCGTTCCTAAAAAAAGACAAACATAAATTATTGTCAAGACTTCAATTATTTTTAAACAGACGAACTACGAAATAGTTTCAAAAAAACCTTATACCTCATAATATCAACTTTCAAAGCTGTAAAAATATAGATGATAATAAAGATTTTGAAGCAAGGCATATTTGCAGCAACTCATCTTTTCATCTGACAGAATCTAATCTTGAATTAACATTAAAATGAGCAGCTCTCTTATAGTCCATGTAGTCCTAAACATGCCCTACATAGATTAAGAGGAATGAAAAATGTAACTGTGGGTCACCGCACTGTCACATTCTCTGTTTTGAAATTGTAGCAGTTGCCAGGCAGACTGGCATCAAGATGGATGCGCTGCCCGAGAAGCTTGTGTCAAGGAGTGATTACTGAAAACTCTCAACCATCTAGACTCTTATTCTTGTCTCAGCTGAGGTCAACACTAAGTAACATATTGAATTCAAAGGAATGAGAATTTTACCCTCAGAAGTTCTCTGGGTTCCTGCAATTTATTCTTTTTCTGAATCATAAGGTATCATTTGTATTTGTTGCCCAGTTTCATGTTCAAAGAGTAAACACCTTTCAACAAATTAGACGTGTATCAAGAATGACTGTCCATTCCAGACAGAAATACACCACTCAGAAATCTAAGCCCTTTTTTAGCACTTGGGAACAAAGATGATATTGTTGTGGTATTTTATTTTGTTCCTGGTTATGTAAAACTGATATTCATATTCACTGGATGGAAATATGAACAGAAACACTTACAGATGGATCTGGATCATAATTAAGGCTGTTCAAGGCTATTCCATTTGATGACACTTTGACAGCATCTTGAATTGTCCCATGGAAGTCAATTACTTGGCCCTAAAGGAGAAAATAAAGTTGTGATAGGCTTTACCGTTAAAACTGCATTGGGACAAATTTTGCTTCCCATAAGAGCAAGGAGTCTCCTTACTGCACATACAGTCCTAAATATGACAAAAACTGGCCTCAGAATCTGTGGTAGCAATGGGAAAAGAACTCAGACCTCCTCAGTTGTGTAACAATTTAACTGTAGGGCCTCTTATAATCTCATTCAGGAATTTGAAATTCATCTTCAATTTTAGCTATTACCACTGGGTTTTAAAAACAGAAGTATTTTTCCTTCTTGACAATGTTTGAAATACTATTTAATGTGAGCAGAGCCTCCTCTACAAAGAATTCCTGCCCAAATTATAAAATTGACCCTTCAGCTAATTATACAGGGATATTTTAGACACAAAAAGCTTGCATTTGATATTTGTGAAAAATTTCCACATGTTTTTTTCTACACACACATTTCTATCATGAATCACATACGAAGTTTTCCACCAACCCTTCTCGGGTGAGTGCTGTCTCCTCCACTTCTGTTGATTGCTGAGATGCTTAAACCAAAGTCAGATTGCTCCAGAGCAACTGCACTGTCGTTATTCTAAGGAAAAAAATCAATTTTAAAACTGAAGTGTTGCCAAGTAGGTGAGTTGCATATATTCCATTACAGGTATCATCCCACCTCTTCCTACAAGCCCAGATGATATCAACCACCTTATGCACTGTGAAGATGCTTAAAACTGACACCAGACTTTCTCCTTGGTTTGTTTGTCTTGCTTTCTGGCACTAAAGGATGAATTGAATGGTACGAATGGGAAAACTCTGGTTGCTTTCAGTATAAGTTGGATTATATGACTCCTTTTCCTCTAATTTTTGCCTGTGACCTGCTCCCCAACTCACAGCCAGAAAGCACATTCTCCTTAAGTCTTGCATCTATAAACTTTAAATTACACAATTATTGTGTAACCTGCATCCTCTTGCTGCCTATAGCCTCTCAAAATAAAATCATATTAATTTCAACCATAATGCTGCCAAGATAAAACAGATTTAAACCTGTTTGGGGCTCTCCTTGGTGGATGAGTTAAATTCTGCTGTACTCCCAGGAGAAGTTTTTGACAATGGTTGTTGCACTGTCTGATGTTTGAGCCTGGGGAGATTCTGAGAACAACTTGCTGCCCTAGGATTATAAAAAAGAATATCTTGAAAGGCTTTCACAACTTCTTTTTTTCCTACAACATACCAAAAGATTAAAGGGCAGAGTTTTCAAATAAAGCAGTTTTGGGCTAACTTTGCTCCCGCTGAAGTTAAGGCACCAATTTCAACCACAGCGAAGTTCAATGCTTACTGCTTTCAAACACGCCACCCTACTTTATCCATACTGCAGAAACTTTGTGAAGTGTCTGCATCTCCATTTGGGAAATAAGTCTCTATATCCGTATTTCCGTATTTAAAGATACAGAAAAATGCACCATGCAGTCAGCAGCGTGACTCTAGGCTTTAGTATTCCTATGGTATCACAACATTATTTTAACCATGCTGCATATTGTTTTATAGGAACATTTTCTGCCCAGAAAAAAACCCCACACATTTCTCTTACCTTCTAGGTCTCCCTCCAGTTCTCAGCTGTTGTTTATTTTCTGCTGTGGCAAAAATTAATATTAAAATGGAAAATAATTATGGATATAAAAAAGGGCAACTTGTATTTTTTTTCCCCCCTTCAAAAATATTTTTGAGCATGTATTAATGACCTTGGAAATAACAATCCATAAACAGGAACAGCATGATTATAAGCCATGCAAGCTTGCAAAAATGTTCTGAAAACAAACCGATACTGGAGAGAGCAGTTTGGCTTCAGGTTTGTTAAATTTTAGGCTCATTCAGTCTTTGGTTTCTTTGCTTACATTTTAAAACCAATACAATTTTCACAGTGAAATGGACAATACCAGAAATTAGATTAAGCACAAAAAACTAATTTAATATATCAGACAGAATGCTTATTTAATGCTAATACCTTTTTCATTGCTGAATTGGGAAATAAGAATTTGCCTCACTCTTCTTAATAGTAATTTTATCGTGTTCAACATACCAAGACAGCATAAATGTCACACTGAAATGGTGGTTATCAAACTATGGGGTTTTTTTGCATTTATATAGTTTGAAAAAAATTCTGTCAAAGAAAAGCCTTTTGCACAAAAGCCAAACTCCACTGTGACCTCATAAAGCCAGGGGTTTGTATCATATTAGCATGTACCTAGTTGTTCCAAAATACATCTCCTATCCGTGTTCTCTGTACGATGTTCTTCCACCCAGATTCTCATACACTTCTATAAAATAATCCTTCCCAAACAGCTGTTCCACTGAAAGCTTGGGAACATGGTGTATTTAGAGGCAGCAGAGCCCATGCATGAAGTGTCTTTTAAGTGTCAAAGAGTGGCTTTTTGGGAATTGTTCAGTTGGATCATGGATCAAGCCTTGGCTACCACTCAGTTTGACTAAGGATGATGTGACAAATGCTTTGTAATACATTTTCCTTCTTGATTCATAACAAAACCCTTTGGTTTTGTCCTGCAAGGCTGCTCCTCTTTGTATTAACAACAATCAATAGGTTCTAGTTGTAAAACTCTTTCATGTGGATAATGGTTGCATAAACTACCTACAAAGGTAGTTTTGTTTTATTTATATAATGTTTCATTTACCTGTGATTTCAAAGTTGCTGGCAGCCACATGAAACAATGACAACTGCTCAGAAATGTTCCCTGGCCAATTATCCCCTTCTCTGATCATTATATTTTTCTTAGAAGACTGATAGGTAGAGATGTTGGTGTTTTCTGTACCCTCTAAGCTCTTCATAACCAATTCTTACACAATTGTTCTTATGGCTTCTGTAAGTTACATCTTGTGCTCCAGTACAAAACCATTCCAGCTCTCGGGGTCATAACAGAATGCCCAGATTCTGATTTGCCTTATTCTGTATCCTTCATTTAAGACTTTAAGTCCTTTGGAGCAAACAAACCTATTACTATTTTTACATTACCTTTAGTACATGAAAATACAAAATACAAAATAAAAGGTTAATGAGACAAGCGGTGACAAACTTTTAAGCACTATCTTGGATGAGCTAAGATATCATATTTTATTTAAGTGGTTTATTTTAATTTAAAAATTAAATGCAAAATAGAAGAGACTTACTATTCTCCCTATGAGAAGAAATTGAATATATCTGTGCCACAATACTTGGCTCTTATTTTCCAACACCAAAGCAGATTTTTAAAAGACAGAAAAATATCACCTTCTTCTTCCTCTACATAAAGAGAAAAGGAAGAGCACAAGGGCTCAAAGCCCCATCTCTCAATTCTTATGTCCTATGTGCTAGAACTATAGCTCTGTAACTGTAAGAGAGTTCAAACACGAAACACTGACATACACGAGAAGTATGGCGACTATATAAATCAAATAAACATTTTAAGCTTTGAGAAACAAAAGCTTTCTTTTCAGAAAACAGCCACATACCAGTGTCCAGGACCTTCTTGGTAATTTTAGGATACTTCTGAAATTTTACAAAGTAATAGCTTTCATATTCCATCAAAATTGTCTCAAGATCAATGTTGTCACAAACTTCAAAGCCACGTAAACTTAATTTCGTCTCTTGTTCCAAAGCATTTGCAGCATCGACATACCTGGTAATTTCAAAGTAAACCAAACAAAGATCAAAAAACTGAGAGTCATTATCTTATTCTGATTTTTGAGAGAAAAAGCAAACTATAGCATTAGTAAGTATATGGTATTTTTAGCCTGTCCACAACTTTATTAGTTATAAAAGCATAAACTCTCAGAAGGGAACATAATGAGAGGTCAGACACACACAAATCCACAAACGTAGAGCACTATTATTTAAAAAAACATACCCTTCCTCCATTAAATAATGCAAAATTAGAATGAGGAGATTTTTTCGACGAGCTTCTGTTCGCATCTCATCCTGTGAATTAAGACAGAACTCTAGATCAAATGTAATATTCTCTTTATTGCTGTAAACAGCATCTAAATGTAGCCTGTGGAAACAAACAAATTAAGACAACAGCATGTAAGAACTGTAAAAACAACTCACTGTTAATAAACAGAAGGAAAAGCGGTTTTCAATGTAATTTTTTTTTACACATTATCAGGGCTACCGGATGGGTAGAAACCTTTTCCTAGAGAAGAGAAAATCACTTTGAGGTTGAAAAAATAACTTACTTCCCTCTCTACGGCAATGGATCTCCAGCATGTTCAGGCTGCTGAGAATTTCAGGGTAGGACTGTTGCAGAGCTCATGCACAATGTCTCCAACGGCTGTGCAAGGAAACGTTGTGCTTCAGCGTGGCCGTGTCCTTCCCTTGAAACTAGAAACCCATTTTCTAAGGGCTTGGAGAAGGGCGGATGGAGAAAAGGTCTGAGATCTGCACAACTACACTACAAAGACCAGCTGGACACTGTTGGCGCATTTTATGGGCCTTGATAGATAAACACAAGTGAAACACAGAGCACCTGAAGAATTACTTGTTTGGGATAACACCAAACTTGCCTGATTCTAACACAGGAGTGACCTAAGTCTGGTCCCAACATGTAGAAATCTCAATACGGAGTCAGTCCCATGGATTTCTCCACAAAGACTGGAGATGCCAAAGTCATTCCCAAATGGGCAGCGTAAAACATCTTTGTCATCATTCAGTGAAGCTACATTTGGGAGAGCATAGAGTGCAATGTTAAATATAACAAATGGGGCACTGTAAATCGTGTAAGATACTGGAACAAAGCCTTACTCCAATGAAACATGTCATATGTGCTGACTGCCTGCAGAGAAACACAGAGATTTTAGGGTCATAACAGGATTTGCTACAAGGAAAGCACCAGAAATCAGCTTATCAACTTTGGTTGGCCTCATCGGGATTTGAATTCCCACTTCCACCCCCAGTTTCCCTCCCTTCTACCCCAATCAAACAGTGCTTGCATCCATCCTTGAGAAAAAACCTCGCCCAAGTGTTAGGGACCTGCAGGAGACAAACCCACAAATCTTTGTCCTCTTCATACTGGAAACAGAGCCCCAGTGGCCGTGGCAATGACTTCTGCTGCTCTCTGCCAATGCTTGGCACACAAACAAGCCAAAGAATTAAAACTGACCAAGGCTTATGTTTTTAAATCCCAGAAAATGCATAAAAGGAATAACCATATGGAAGGAATATCCATACAGAAAGACGATTATCCTATCCTTTCTGGTCTCTTGGAAGGAAGCATCATCACAGCAAACCGTGGATATTGGAGAGTCATTTACTCCTACAAGCAAAGGTGCTTTTGGGTGGTGTAAGGTACTGCAAACCCAACTTTTATCTTCAGCCTGCTGTTCATCAGATCAGCCCTACCTGCTCCCTCTGCTCTGTACACAGCAGTGTGTGTGTCATACAGCATTCTGCTGCTCATTTACACACTTGAGATAAAACAATAGTTCACTGTGCTATTTTAAAACTAACACTTCCCTGTGTGTTTGCCAACCTGTAAAAAGTACCGGGTGGACCAGGCAAAAGGGCTCCCAGTACAGAAGGGTTCTGGGATGTTTACTTCAGCCGTGGGGCCATCTAGTGACACAACTAGGAAAAGGCTGGGGTTTGCTGTTAGACATTTCCTGCAGAGTGAAAGTTCATTTGTGCTTCACATATTAATAAAAAGATTGGTAGAATCTTCATTCTGGTTTTATAGAGAAAAGAATCAAACTGGCTGTAGAAGAGGGAAGACCCCACGCTCCACTTCTAGCCTTTACTACCTTTGCTACCCTCTTGATAAAGTTACGCAGACATTCCGTTTCTGAGACCATTTGCTTTATAGTGGTGGTACAAAGATTATTTTTCTAAACCATTTTAGGAAGGAAGAGTGCTGTGTAAATGCCTGGTAGGTCTGTAACTCTTGAAGGAAGTAGATCAGTTCACAGAATCACAGAATCCTGAGAGGCAACAAGAAATGAACCAATTCTGAGAACTGGCACGAGCAAATACAAAACAAAACACTGTCATCCTGGGATGAAAGGATCTTTTCCTTCTTTATGTTTTGAGGTGCTGGTGTTTGGAAAACAGATTCAGATTTTGAATTGTGGACCTTTTACTATTTCTCCAGGATGGTCTGACTCTTCCAAAACAGGGTAGGAGGTGCATGAAGGAAGCTGGAGTCATCACTTGCTGAAAATCCCACCTGTACATTCTCTGAAATGCAACCTCTCCTGCTGTTTCACGCTGAGAAAAAAAAAAAAAAATGTTGCGTTTGCCTACATATCGAAAGGCAGGATCACAGCTACTCTGAATATTTAAACAGAGTATGAAAACACAGTGGTTGCCACAGAAGACAAACACATCAATTGTTTCATGTTTGAATCTTTACAGTAATACTCTGATGAGAGAGGAATTCTATCTGCCTGATAAACTGACAGGGCTTACAAGCCATGCTTGGAACCTTCGTTGAAAATAATTTGTATTTTGGTCTGTCTTCTGCTGCTGTTAATCCCACCAGGTACTTCTGCTATCCCTAGAGGCATTTTAAATTCTAGTATAAACAGCGACTGAGTGATGGGCAGCATCTCAAATACTCTTCTAGGTAGAGACTTGCTTTGGGCAGTACAGGATAACATCGTGTCTACATATGAGCAACCCACTTCAACCTTCATAGAATCACAGAACGGTTTGGGTTGGAAAGGACCTGAAAGATCATCGAGTTCGAACCCCCCTGCCATGGGCAGGGACACCTCCCACTAGCCCAGGTGGATCAAAGCCTCATCCAGCCTGGCCTTAACATAATAATGTTCTTCTTGTGTTGACCAAGCAGAAGCAGAAGTGAACTTTTACATTAAAAAAAAGAGCCCCATTTAAAATCAGAAGATAGTTTAGACTGAGTGGTTCAGTCTGTGTTTGTCTTGTGTTAATAATGCAAACAGCAACAGTTAATTTGAGAAGCCAGACATCTGTCCAAAGAAAATGATCTGGAGTCATTAATCAGCTGATTTGGTCCTAGTTCTGTGAAATCTCTAAAAAGAAAGAAAAATGAAGGACCTTTCAAGAAGTAACTGTTACCGAATGATAAATCTTGTGAGTCAGCAGTGCATGGATCATTGCTTTCTTGGCCAATTCCCCAAAGCCACGTCTCCCTGCCTTTCACCAGTCTTATTTTACCACATACTCTTTCCAAGAGGGAGATGAACCTCTGCATGTGTCGCTACCACCAGTAGCTTTAGCTGTCCACTCAAACAGCTCTCTGCCACACTGGTTTCCTTTCCTGAACTCCAGTTTATTCTCTAGAGACTGACCCCCACTGTAAATATGTCCACAAAACAACGTGCCTGCCACAGTACAGACAGATAGTGACACTGCCCAGGACTTCTGTTCTGTTTAGAGAGGAAATGGTAAATCTTACACAGCATGAAAAAAAAAAAAAATAGGAGCACTTATGAGTGCAAAGTTACTTAAAATTCAGTTTAGCTTTACAGTGATTTAGCCTTCCTGTTTAATTAGTATTTGGAATTGCATGTTGTTTATAGCCACTGGTATTTCAATAGATGTTTAAGCATTTAAAGTTTAATAAGCTTCCATTCTTAAAAGAACAAAAAAAGTATGTAATTAAATTTTCAATTACTATAGGGGATTTTGGGGTCCATGCAATTAATAAAAGCTTAAGGCACTTAAGCATGATCTTGTTTTAAAAACTAAACAGTTCAGCACTTAACTAATTAACTCCAGCACTTATAGTGTGTTTTATTTATCTCTAGCTTAACAAAAGAGCAGTACGTATTCTTTTCTTTGCAGCCATTTAAAATTAAACTCTAATAGAGTCATGCATCTTTAAATGCAATTGTTTGTGTAGTCATTTCCATACCTTTTACTAAAATGCATTTAAATTATAAATCAATCTAGTCTCTTGTGTAAGTCCATCAAATTAATGGACCTACTAAAAGATTAATTTAACCCTACGATGTTTCGTTATCATTTGACACTGTATTTCTTCATGAGTATATTCAATAGAGTGAAGAAAAAAGTTACAGACCAAGTCACAGTCTGGGAAGCTTGGAAATAAGAACTAAAGTTGTGTCCTTGTACATTCAACTGAGGCAGGCAATAAGATGAGTTCAGGGGATCTGTGATCAGGAATTCAAACAACAGGCAAGCGGTTAGCTCTGTAATCACATAGGGAAAACACATTGTCCCTTCCCTCTTTTTCATTTGGGATCCCAGGACGACTGCCAAGTGTGGGGTTCCTCAAGATCAAGCCGTCACCACGTGCCAGGACAGCAAGAGTAGCTGAGGCATGATGGATTCACCCAGTTTTCCTTCTCTCTCCACCACCCCGTAACCCCACAGCTTTCCTGCTCCCCTTGCCCTTTGTGTGTTATACTTGCAGCCTTGCCAGGCTTTTTTGACCGCTGATGTGCAATCATTGTTTGGCTTGCTGACAGAATTTTTGGACAAACACAAGCAGAGAAGGGAAATGGTGAGTTTTAAACAATGTATAACTTGGCCGCCATTGAATAGAATTTCCTAGCACAAAGAAAAGGCGCTTCTTTACTCTCTTCTCTCTTCCAAATTATACAAGCCTGATGCAAACAATAGAGTTGGCAAAGTTTCTCAAGAAGGATTACAAATAGCTTTCATAATTAAAGACATACAGCAAGTTCACCACAGAAGTTACGGCTGTCCTAGCAGCACTCAAGATGTTACATTTAAAATCTAAACACATTTTACAACTTGAGTCTGGTGCACTGAAAACAGAAACTTTCTGATTTCTTCCCACATTGCAATAGTTACATGCTGTCTTTTCAATAATTCAAGCTCCAATGTTAAGAGTTACTCACCAACCCTATTATCTCCCTCTTTTAACAGGAGCATTGCTGAAGGTTTTACACTGCCAAGACTTCACTAATTTGAAGTTATATGCTTTATGAATACATCAAAAGGAATTGACCAAAATATGGTGAATTATTAAACAATGCAAATTAAGGATGATGAATTTACAAATTAATTAATAAGCATTAACTCTTCCACTTGTTTGTATGAATTTGCAAAGTTCTACTGCAGTTTACAATAATATTGCTTGGCAAGAGCGATTTATACCACAAACATGGGAAATATTTAACAATCAAAACCAGTGAAATGCCTCAGAAAACACATTTCTTTGATTGTAAGACTACACTGGCTGTGAACAGCCATAGAATTGTAATACACATAGGAATTTATATTTATAAAGGAGTTTATTTTAAACACTTTTCCCCAAAATTGCTAGTAAACAATAATTTCCATTCTATAGAACAGATTAATTGGAAAATGCAGTACAGATAAGGACTGGGGAACTAGGAATTCCAGTAATTATTTAGTGCTACAAATTACAGATGTAGCAGCCTAACTTAGATACTGCATTAGAATACTGGAATTCAGAAAACAGAAATTAAGTATCTGCGCTCCCTCCACAGAAGTCAAGAACCTAGAAGCAAGAATCAAAAAAGTCTTTTGGCAGCTTCAGGTTGTTCCTTAGTCACTGACGGGCTTAAAAAAACGTAGTCTCCAAACTTCTTCCTCTCTGCAGAATATGAACACCTCCGTCTACTCTGTATCCAAAATATAAAATCTGATTTTTACATCCATCCTGCCAAAAGGTTATGGAGGACAGCTTACAGAGCAAACCGACCCAAACCCAGTGGTACAGCTCAGTGGGAAGAGTTCTTGAGCTCCAGGTCCTTTTACAACAAATGTTTCTCCATTTAGTAGTCAAAACCATCCTTGGGACCAGGACCACCCAAATCCCCATTGGAGAGGTTACAAATTAGACCCCTCTTTCTCCCATCTTCCTTCTGCACATGAACGTCATTTCAATACCACACCTTGGGGCACCATTCTCAGTGGATGGGATCTGAATGCACTTTAGGACTCAAAAAGACTGTGCTGGAGGCTCCCATTCCTAGGTAAATAATCTACTAACGTAGGACATTGACATAACCTAAAACTCAGCCTCAGAACCCCTCCCAAAACTACCTTTTCGTGAGCAATCGTGTCTTATTCACGCGCATTGGACATTTGTGTATGCATACAGAGAACCTAACACCCTTCTGGGGTTTTCAGCAGTCCTGCAGTACAGCTCTAGTCTCTCTTCCTCTAGCTGAATTTGACCAGCAGATGGAAGCAAAAGAACAGGTTAAGGCATCTAGCAAACTCCTCCTGCTTCTGGACTTCCTGCAGCTCGACCCACCCGTGGGGTGGAAGCACGGTGGGACTGTACAGCCCTGAGTTATGGAAAAAGAAAACTGAGGGAGGAAGGAATACGGACTTATCCCCTTTCCTGCCATGACCATGCAATGGAGAAGGGCTGAGACCAAGGGGCCCTGCCCTGCACTGAGGAGCAAACAGGACAAGAGGCTCTTCACTCCTCTGAAAGGAAGGTAAACGAGAAGAAAGGGCCGTAGGAAGCCACCACTCTTAAGGGGAGCCAGGACCGT